TTTTTAACGACCGACATTCTCATGGTTATTGCTTCATTAAACAAATAATTTTTGATTAAGAAATTTACAAATTTTAATGCTGACAACAAAAATTTTCGATATTTTTCTATATTTCTTTTTTTTAACGAAAATGCATTTAGAGTCGCTGGTGTTAAAATATAACTAAAATAAAGATATTATTTGAAGTACAAAATTTAATTAAATCAATATTTTAAAAAATGGCATAATTAAAAGGCAGAAGAAATCTTCACCTACAGTAGTTAGTATTTAGAAAAGATAAATTAAAAAAGAAGATAAAAAATGACTACAGAATGAGTTAGCTGCTTATTGTTCTTAAGTCGTCAGACAAGCATCCATGTGTAAACAAAAGAAAAGATTAATTTCTGCCTGAATTTATACGATTTATATTCGGATTATTGTCCTCGTCTTCGTTGTTTTTCATCGCGACGTTTTGATTGTTACGTCCGCCGTCCTTCCTCCTGTGTATATCGATCTGTCGGAGTTAGCTTCTCCTTAATTCCCAAATTGTCACTAGGGGTCATTCTGCTTATACTATAAATACTGGGCGACTTCTTGCCTCGTTCTCTTTTTCACCCCCCCCACACTGACCACGAATATGGGGTCTAGTTAGTATTTTCATAGAGTCATTGAGGTATTATGGTGGGTGTGGTGAGAAAGGTAAGTAAGAATGTGTTGTTTTGGTGCAAGAAATATTGTTAATATGATTGGGTCAGTGTTTGTGGCTAGCTAAGTTTAGAAGTTAAGACAGAAGACCGATCTCTTCCCCATTTCGGCCTTGTGCCATATTTTCTGTTATAGCACAGAAATAAATTACCTTTTCATTTCTTCATTTCAGCGACTTCATTTCTTCATTTCATTTGCGACTACAATGTAAGCACATACACGTACATACGAACATTCACCAAAAGAACAAACGTTCACACACACACAAATATTATTGTCGCTATCCATTGTAAAATTGTTTTATTTTAATACATATATTTATTTATATATATATAATATATATAATTATTTTATAAAAAATTTATGACATATATATGTTATAAAATCCATAAAAATAGCCATTTTGTTTCATTATATGGTGTTGAAAATAAATAAATAGTTTTAAAAGTTTCACGATCCTACATACGAACATTCAAAAACCAAAAATTCAAAACGTTCACACTATTTAGATCAAATACGTGTAATATTAAAAATAATTTTTACAAAATATTATTGTCGCTTTTTATCCATTGTAAAATTGTTTTGTTTAATACATATATTTGTTATATATATATGTCTTGTTTGTCTTCTTTATCTTTAGTTGGACTTAATTCAAGTTCGGCCATTTTCTTGTAGTTGGACCTTTTAATATTCTACCAGGAGTTACACACGTGTTTCTAATACAAATTCACATTAAACCAAACGGCCACCTACATATGTGGGTAATCTACAGAGTATTCTGAACGGAGTTCAGTATTCCCTATAGATTACCCAGTTGATTATCCAGAGAGCACAACGGCTAAACGTTGTGACAATAGTAAAGATGGGGACAATAATACGGATATAAATAGTGTAAATAAAAAGGATATCGTCCAGACTTGAAATAACCTACTCCATACACTTCGGTTACAAATACTACGGAAGGTTGAACATTGGATTTAAGCAGCAACTTCTTAACACCTTCGCCGAACTTTCGAACTGTAGACTTACATGCCAACTTAACCTACAAAGTATATTTTTAACATTTAGTCACAGTTATATTATCTAGGTCTTCTAGCTGATCAGTATTCCTCAATTTACTTAATTCTGCCTCCATTACTTGCTTCATTGTTTGTTCATGTTTCTTTAATCCAAACACATGCGATGTAAATAAATTTTGTATCAATTTTAAGTTTGTCGTCCTCTTGTTGACCTGAGAGATTATGCATTGTTTTTCTCTGTCTCTCTTACCTTCAATCTGTCCTGTGAGTATCAAATTTTCCAAGCCCTCTTTCTTCATAATATGCCTTAAAAATGTCAACTGTCTTCCTAATATTACCGTACAAGCTTCCATTTTGTTTCTATTTTCTCTAAAACTTTGCTGTTGCTCACATGTCCGATTCATAGTATTCTAAGCATCCTTCTGTAAAACCATATTTCTGTTGCTTCATCTTTGAGGAGATTGTCCAGCATTCTCTACCATATATGACGACAGATATCACATAATAATTCAGTACACTTCTCTTGGAGGCATGGTGGAGTAATGGATAGCGGCTCGGATTGCGGAATCGGAGAGCAGAGTTCGAATTCCATATACATTACATTCACTTACGTATATAACGGATTCATACCTTGGGAAAGGTATGAATCCTACTCTTCTCCCCCCAACTATGGATAAATAGCAGGACAGACCGGGTACTATAGCCTTTGATGGCAACTGGTGTACCGTAGAAAGAAATGGCAACCTACTGCGGGAAAAAAAAATCTGCCTTGTCAGTCAAGTATCGAAGGATACATGATTGCCTAAGCGTGTATCACGTATGGCACGAAGTTTGTTTTGTTTGTTTTTTTCCTGTTTCTTAATACCTGACTTAGCTTTTGGAATGCATGTTTGGCTATCCCAATACGCCTTCGGATTTCAATGTCACACTTTCCGTCCTCTACGGCCAGTAGCTACCCTTATTTTCTGTGTTTCAGGCCGTAAACTGTGATCCAGAAACTAGTTCAGAGCTGCAATCAATGTCTTGTTTTGGAAAGGTAACAAGCTATAATTTTGGAGGAGGAGATGGTAACAGCGTGTGAAGTCGATCAATCCAATGCCCTATCTTGTAATGAACGTGTGCATATGCGCAAAGTGACAGTGCAGTCAATTACACCAATGAAAATTTAACTGCGTAAGGAAAAAACAAGAGATCATTTTTTATCGACTAATTCCGATGTTAACAATTAGCTATGCTTCACAAATTCCTACCGAACGTTCGATCTTTTGTGTAGCTATACGGCGGAGTAGTGGATAGCGGCTCGGAGTGAGGAATCGGAGTTCGAATTCCAGTCGAATCCATTACATTCACTTACGTGCTATTAACCTTGTGAAAGATATGAATCCTCTTTTTCTCCCTCCAGCTATGGGTAAATAGCAAGACAGGCTGCGTTCTATAGCCTTGAATGGCAACTGGTCTAGGAGAAGGACAACTCTGAATTCAAAACCCGCGGAGGGTCGTTTGGAGATCCTGTGGCACACCAGGTCTCTGTATCCGGGTCTTCAAATGGTGTGGTTCTGCAGAAAACCTTCACCACTATAATCAAATCACATGTGCAGGTTATCTGCCTGTCGGTTCCTAGGAACTGAGGTACCTGACCATCATACGTCGTAAAAGGGTCCCCAGTAAGTGTGGATCAACAGCCCGCGTCGTTCAACGACGGGAGAGTCCATCTATCTATCTATCATATATTTATATATGCGCCCTCCTTTTTCTAACATATATATATATATATATAATGGGTAGCTGTTCGGAATGAAGAATCGGAGTGTCGACATCAAATTCCAGTCGAATCCATTACATTCATATACGTGCTAATACCCTTGGGAAAGGTATGAATCCTCTTCTTCCTCCAGCTATGCAGGACAGATTGCGTTCCATAGCCTTGGATGGCAACGGGTCTAGGAGAAGGACAACTCTGAATTCAAAACCTATGGAGAGTCTTTTGGGGACCTTGAGTCACATGTTGCACCAGGTCTCTGTATTCTGCCCCTCAAAAAGTGTGGTTGGTTCAGCACAAAGCTTTTACCACTATAATCAAATCATATTTTCTGGTCTGGTCTGGTTCATAGCAACTGAGGCGCTTCACCCTCATACGTCGAATACGACGGGAGAGTCCATCAATATATATATATATATATATATATATATATATATATATATATATATATATATATATATATATATATATATATATATATATATATATATATATATATATATATATATGAGAAATATGTATTAATAACAAACAAGCACATGATGATTAATAACACGATAAATATTTCTTCGGCATTTTCCTACCATACATGAGCATTGTTCTTTCTGTAAACACTAAAGTAATGAATAGAAGATGTTAATAAAATTAATAACTAGATTCATGTATGCTTTTCAGCAGTTTCCTTGCCAAATTAATGAATACAAAACGTGATTTTTCGTAATTAAACAGACATTTTTCTCAGGTTCGTTTTTCAAAGTACGCGTTGATCTGTTTAAGAGTAATATGTTTAAAATCACAAAAAGCGTTATAGCAATATTTTTATATCAAGTGGAATCAGTTTTTACTTAAAGAGATTTTAAACAAATGCCCCCATCTCGCCTAAAACTTCTCGAATTATTTATTTTATTATTTGTGATTTGTTATTCTCTGTCGATGACACCAAGAATAGAATTGCGAAAAATCCTTTCTATGGCGTTCCCTGCAGTCATCGTGTGCTTAGCAGCGTTTCACAACTGAACAACGAAAGGCAACATGCTGGCTTTCATTCTAGCAAGCGGACAAATTATAAATAATCCAATATTTACGATTCCAAACAAAAACAGAAAAAATAAAAGAAAGAATAACACACAGTTTTATTTCTTTTCTGTGCTTCGAGTAAAAGACAGATAATAGCAGTTTTGAATTCATAGTCGCCTCGAAAATAACTCTTTCCTCTCCGGTCTCTCATTTTTTTTTTCCTTCTCCAGAGAGACACGCACTTCTCAAGCCCAGTGTTATGGTACGAGACTTCAGACGGTAAGCTAAGGCAAGGATGATAAAAAGAAAGATTTATTTATTGATTAATAAGTCAAGGCTGGTGATATTCCTCAGCAAGTGATGCAGATATTAGCTTGGTCTGCTTAACGAACCAAAATCACAAGTATGTTAAAACCCGAGATGGAAATGTTTTGCATTTTCTGCCTGGAACAGGCCATGAGGGAAACCAAACGAAAAAGATATTTACGGGCAAATATTATGAGGAACGTTTGCACATGCGCTCAAAAATACATATGGTGGGGGAGGGGGACCAAAAGAAAGAAAAAGCTATTGTGGGGGGCGGTAAGCAAAGGAAGGAAAGCTATGGTGGGGGGCAGGAACCACAGGAAAGGATAGCTACGGTGGGGGGGGCGGAAACCACAGGAAAGGAAAGCTATGGTGGGGGGGAACCAAAGGAAAGGAAAGCTATGGTGGGGGGCAGGAACCAAAGGAAAGGATAGCTACGGTGGGGCGGGAACCAAAAGAAAGGAAAGCTATGGTGGGGGCAGGAACCAAAGGAAAGGATAGCTATGGTGGGGGGCGGGAACCAAAGGAAAGGAAAGCTATGGTAGCGGGGGGTGCGGTAACCAAACGAAAGGAAAGCTATGGTGGGTGGTGAGAACCAAACGAAAAGATAGCTAACCAAACGAAAGGACAGCTATGGTGGGGGCGGGAGCCAAACGAAAGGAAAGCTATGGTGGGGGCGGGAACCAAAAGGAAGCTATGGTGGGGGGAGGGAACCAAAAGGAAAGAAAAGCTATGGGGAGGACCAAAAGAAAGAAGAGCTATGCTGGAGGGAGAACAAAAGACAGAAAAGCTATGGTGAGGGGATCAAAAGCAAGAAAATCTGTGATGGCGAAAACCAAAGGAAAGAAAGTTAATAATAATTTAAAAAAAAAACGAAAACCATGTCAGGAATTTATACAAACTAATATAGGCTTACGACCACATCATGCTGAAAGACTGGTTTGCGTACGATCACCGAAGTTAAGCAATGTCGAGCCTGGTCAGTAATGCTTGGAAATAGCAGGTACTGTAATCTTGGATTTGAATGTGGTGCAATGGATAAAGGCTTGATATTGTTAATCGGGGTTCCAATTACCGATGGATTCGTTATATTCACTTACGCGCAAGTAACTTTACGAGGGGTAAGAATAGAGCTTCTCTCCCCTAGCTATGGGTTAATTAGTAAGAATTGTATCATTAAACGATTATTATCTAAAAAAAAAAAAAAAATCTTAATATCTAAAAACATTTTCTGGCTTTAAATAACCTACATAGGGTTGATAAGCTGTAAAAAACAATCAATCTATGAAGAAATACTAATATAGTGAATAGATAAATAAAAGTTCAACAACTTATTTTCCAACTAAGTTTCGCAGACAATCAGGGTAAGATAAAACTACTGAATCTACTAAAAGAGAACATGGGCACCCCTAGGCGGTGTAATGGTTAGGAAGCTTGTCTCGCTAGAACCATTACGAATCACTGGGTGCCCCATACTTTCGGCCTTGTGCCACATCTAAGCTACGCTTGGAAAATCGATACTAGAAGAGAACATATTTTTAAAATTTAATATATAAAAAAATAATTATTAACGTCAGCTCTATTTTAAATTTGTTTAATCCTAAAACAGTTCTAAAATGGCATCCTTGTTGTTAATCATTTCATCCTAAGCAAGGCAATAAAGCCACTAGGACGCAAGAGGTTACTGAGTGCTAGAGAATATGAAAAGATAAAACACTATTAAGGAGATAAGACAATAAAAGAATAAGAATAAGAATTAAGAAGACAGAAGGTAACGATTGACATTGTATTTCCGTTTTTAAAGATCAAAATTGAGAAACAAGAAGACGGAAGAGAGTTCCACAAGCGGGAACTGCGATAGATTGGTTTGGTTTATTTTGTTTTACTACAATAGGTTATTTAATGCCGACAAAATTTTTTATTGCTGGTAATATTTTGTTTTGTCAAAAATCTGTTTTTCCTAATATTTTTCCTTCAAAATAGTATTGCTGGTAATAATTTTTTTTCAAAAATGTATTGCTGGAAATAGTTAACTATTTGCCCATAGCTGGGACCCTAACAGGTTCTAACACCCCGGGTCAGGGTGGACCTGGGAACACCAGCAATTAAGAAGTCGTTCCACGCTCCTCAAAACCTCCTGATCAGAGGCCTTGCTGCTGGACGTAGTTTATCGTCTTACCCAGGACGGGGACTGCGATAGAAAAAACTGTTAGCATAGGACTTACGGTTACATCTAGCCATTTCAATTGTGAACTGATGAGACCTTACCGCCAATCTAGTACTGCATTTAAATTCATAAAGTCTAGATACCATAGAGGAAAGTTCAATTACCATGAAAATATTTTTAGAACAAGGGCGGGGGAAGCTACGTTACGGTGGCGGGAAAGCGGCGTGCCAGGTGAAATAAATCTAAAGCCGCTGATAAAGCCAATATTGACGCAATTCTCAACCGACAAGATTACAACCAAAAACTACAAGCTTTTATTGACGCTCGGTCAAAATTCAAATTAAATATATCATTGAGTCACTCAAGAACAAAGTAAACAAGCTCATCACAGTCAGCAACGAGGAAATAGGAAGTTTAAGATCAATAAAATTGCAGATTCTTCTTTGGATTTGATAAAGAATCTCTAAATACATAACAGGAGCACCAGACCAGATGTGGTAGCAATATGCAAAGCAAGGATGAAAGTAATCTGAAATTGTTCGATTATGCATTAGATAATTTTGCCGTTTTGAATAAACATCTCTAACAGTCAGTTATGTCCCATACGTGATACACGCTTAGGCGATCATGTATCTTTCGATACATTTTCCCGCAGTAGGTTGCCATTTCTTTCTGCAGTAGACCAGGCTATATCCGAGGCTATAGAATCTGGTCTGTTCTGCTATTTACCCATAGTTGGGTGGGAGAGAAGAAGAGGATTCATATCTTTCCCTGGGGTATTAGAAGGTCATCGTTATCAAAACTCTGATACTCATTTTCAATACTGCTATCATCGTCGTTAAATATCGAGCAAGTGAAATTTATTCACTGAAAAAAAAGTTTGAACAAAGCAACTATAAACAATTTTTTTCTATCTTCTGCCAGCCGCAATGATGGAGAAAGCATTACCTCGAACCATCGCCAGTGAGACACACTGCAAGACCCACTCCGTTTCGCGAGGCTCGTCCCTTAATAGAGACGCAATTGTGCTAATCCTCAGAAGGAACGCCATCGAACGAGGGCCAATAACCACAGAATTCGTTATTAAATAATGCGTCATTTTATGTTCCATGGAGAGCATTGCTAATGCCACACTTTTTAAAAGATTTCACAACAATTTCTGGTCCATCATCACAAGCTTGCTTCACCCATTCGCAGACTTGTGCAATGCTGGGTCTTTTTATTCTTCCTGTAAGTGTAAAGTTGTGATCAGGTATTGCCATCAATGTGTTCCATTGCTTCTTCGTGTTTAAGCCTAAGTTAATAGGAGTTGCCAACTAGCTAATTTCGGTCGACAATCGCGTATTTTAAACTTACATATGGCATATAAGACGCAGGGGAATTATAAAAGATATTTTTAGTAAAATTAATGTCCGCCTTATATGCCGTCAAATATGGTATTCATTATATCATACCCAAGTACTTTACAAAAAAATAGAGCCAATTACACAATATTTCAAGCTCAATTTAGGTTTATAGTTCGTAACCATGCAAAGAGATGAGGTAACATTAACCATAGATTTTTCTGCGGAATATCATTCACATTATTGTTACATAATTATAGCGAAATTATTAAGGTTGTTTTGTCAAAGGCATATTAATTTTGGTTGCATATTAATTTAAAATATTCCTTTTTACAGGCTTTATTTTTTAAATGGAATAAGATCATTTTAAATTTCTGAATTTCGCTATTGCCCATCAAAATGACTGGAAGAAAGCAATCTAAAAACAACAATGAAAAAGAGAGGTAACAAAGCGTAAACAAAATAACTCCAGTTTGTTCAACTTAGGAAACTTAGCATTGCAGCCAAAGTATTCTAAAATACTGCCAATAACAAAGGAGAAATGAAAAATACCTAACAACAAATCGAATATAGCATCAAAATTTATATTATTTTTATTTATATGTTATCTAACCAAATACATAATTGTCAACAATGCTTCCGTAAAACTTGATATTTTTCTGTAATAAATTCTTAATGAATATTATTATTGTTTTACTTGAGTTTAAGGTAGTCCTATATTTACAATTCCTTATGGCTAACCATCAAAAGAAATGTTGATCAAAACTGCCTAAAACTTTTAAGCATGTATTGCCGCAAAGTTATCAAATGTTGAATACACCTCCCTCCGCCGAACGAGTCATATATATGTGTGTGCGTGTGTGTGTTTGTGTGTGTGTGTGTGTGAATTACAATTAATGAGATCCAAATAATTTACCTCATAGAGATGATCATTTCGTCCATGGAAAAGTAGTTTTTCCCTGGGATTATCAATGCAAATATATTTACTAAAATGTATTAAAAGGTTTTAATAAAAATGTTATAAAAGGTTCTAGTAAATGTATTTGTATTGATAAGTCCAAGGAGAAACTACTTTCCCAAGGACGAAATGATCATCTGTATGAGGTAATTCGTTTGGATCTCATTAATTGTAATTTACTTATACGTTCTATAATAAAATTATATTGAGCTCTGTTTTGTGGATCAGTTTTAATATTTTATATTAATGGGATTTACTTGGATTACTTACCCACGGATTTCTTACCTGATATATATATATATATATATATATATATATATATATATATATATATATGTGTGTGTGTGTGTGTGTATGGAGAGAGACTTTTTGAGTAAATAGTGACAAAATATACGAAATTAAGAACTTACTTTAGTACAGCTAATCAGATCGCTTATAATATATGCAGAAATTCTTAGCGTTTATTTTCCTTCATCTAGACACTGAATGCACAGTTCAGGAATTCATTGCTGGAAACTTTTGCACACATCTAAAAATTTTAATATAGCTAAGTGTACACAATCTGTATAGATACTAAGCCACATACATTTGCATATTTTCGTTTGCAATATTTGCTCTATTCGAGTTACCTCCCTCGCACTAGCGACGCCAGTTGGCAGTGTCTTTGTTAAGACATTGGGGAACTGTATCAATGTTATATATGCTGTCATGCTTTACGATAATGGGTAAACTGTTAATATTATCAGGCTTTAATATATACAGTTAACTGCGAACGACGGAAATTTCTGCCGATATTTTTTTTTTTTTTTGCATTTTTGTTTTAATTTTCTTATAATCTTCTTAATCATCGATCCAAATGGTATTAGCATTGAGTTCTGCAAAGAGACTTGCATTTTCTAATGAGAGAATTTAATTATCAAAATGCGTAATTGGCGAATGTAATTAATTTCTATCGCTGGTTGCATTAACTTTATTACTCATAAAGTTTGTATCGCAAAACAGCAAAACAGATTTAAAAAAAGAAAAACCTACATCGGCCAATTAAAATGCTTATCATAGGCCATCAGTTTCTTTTGATTACATAGTGTTGTCATCTGTTAGTCACGTGGTTAATACGTAGAGAAATATCTGTTTTTAGATTTGAATTGGTTTTAATCAAAAGTACACTAAATTGTTGGTCGAGAGGCTCGATTTCCGACTTGTTAGATTTTAATACTAATGACATTATTCTAATAATTACCAGATTAGAATTCTAACTACGTTCCTTGGTTAGAGTCAAGTCCCTGCCAATAGATTAGAAATAATAGACTATTCCATTTTGGTCCAAAAAAATGACGGAAAAGACATTAAAGTGCTGATGTTTGGTTTCAGTGAGAAAAATAAAGAAAAAAAAAAGGAGAGAGAAATCTAGAAGGAACAGAGAGAGAGAAATCTAGAAGGAACAGAGAGAGAGAAATCTAGAAGGAACAGAGAGAGAGAGAGAGGGAGATAAATCTAGAAGGAACAGAGAGAGAGAGAGAGAGAAATCTAGAAGGAACAGAGAGAGAGAGAGAGAGAGAAATCTAGAAGGAAGAGAGAGAGAGAGAAATCTAGAAGTAACAGAGAGAGAGAGAGTGAGAGAAATCTAGAAGGAACAGAGAGAGAGAGAGGGAGAGAAATCTAGAAGGAACAGAGAGAGAGAGAGGGAGAGAAATCTAGAAGGAACAGAGAGAGAGAGAGGGAGAGAAATCTAGAAGGAACAGAGAGAGAGAGAGGGAGAGAAATCTAGAAGGAACAGAGAGAGAGAGAGGGAGAGAAATCTAGAAGGAACAGAGAGAGAGAGAGAGAGAAATCTAGAAGGAACGGAGAGAGAGAGAGAGAGAAATCTAGAAGGAACGGAGAGAGAAATCTAGAAGGAACAAGAGAGAGAAAGGGAGAAGGAACAAGAGAGAGAAAGGGAGAAGGAACAAGAGAGAGAAAGGGAGAAGGAACAAGAGAGAGAAAGGGAGAAGGAACAAGAGAGAGAAAGGTAGAGAGGGAGAAAAAGAGAGACAAAGGTAGAGAGAGAGAAAAAGAGAGAGAAAGGTAGAGAGGGAGAAAAAGAGAGAGAAAGGTAGAGAGGGAGAAAAAAAGTGGGATACTGGTTACAATTTTGCATCAAATTACAAAGGAATTTTATTTCGTATTCACAAACATTCCCATGGGGTGGTTTAATCAGCAATCTGACGCTGTTGATTGAAATTGTGTCAGCAAATAGACACGAAATTCTGCTTAAATTTCCTACATTTGTACACGAGCAAATTACAGGACATATTAAGAAAATTTGTGAAGATAACTAGAAAATGTTCGTAAAAACTTATGCACAGTTGGAGCTCTTAACGTCATGGTAAGCAATGACAAAACTTTACTTCATCTATCATCTACAACATTACATTTTATTCAACTTTGCTTTATTTCAATTATTGTCCACCTGTATAGGCGTGTGTACGCGGGTCCCAGAACCGTTTCCGGCCATGTACTCTACATTCACGACTATGCGTGTGAGGTGAGTGTGTGTGAGAATGACTTCTATCAAGAGGGGAAAATGTTTTAAATTTACATATAGTTTATAAAAAACTATATGTAAATTTAAAACATTTTTTCACCCTTCGAAGTGCGGTCCGATGAACCAGGTAAAACCCATACACCTGGGGAAATAAATTATAACCAAATGAACCCTTAAGGTTGTTTATTTTCTATTTAAATTAATAATTGCTCTGATTTGACATTGAGCTCTCTGGATTACATCCTCCTTGGGATTATCCATACGGATTACCAAACTTTTCATTACTTAACTATATATATATATATATATATATATATATATATGTAATAGACGAAAAGAAGAAAAAAAATAATATATATATATATATATATATATAAAGAAATATAGTCTTAAGGTATGCTATATTTATGGAATAAAGTGCTCAATATGAGAGATAGAGCGTGTAAATATATAAAAGTGAACATAGAAGTCAACACTTAGAGGCGACAGTCTGTTTCATGCTATATGCAATCGTCAGGCCAAAAACAAGCAATATAATTTGACCCAAATAAATAAATAAACAAACGACTTCCGGTAAAATAACCGCCATAATAGAATACCCACAATGCACCACTAACCCGTATATATATATAAATAGCCGAGAAAAATAACAGCATATTCTGCACATTTTTTTCTTCTTTCGTCTATTTCCCCTAATCTTATTTTTTGCTGCTACTCAGCTGAAATTTCTAAACTAAGCCTCAATAAAAAACGTCGAAATCTAGAACGAGGTCCCAGAGCTTTAGGTTAAAATGTACATGGTTCGTCTTAGAACTATTTTTCTCTTATGATCGTTTAGTAAGAAGTGTAACCAGCTCTATCCTTAAAATTGATCGCCTGGTTCCTCACTCGTATTTCAACGTTACAATCACATTTTTATTTATTTTTAAATTAAAAAAAAATGACTAAGTAATGTCAGCTTCCTCATTCCCTTCATAGCCCCTTGGTATCGAAGAAATTCAACTCAATGTGTTCCCCGGAACTGCTACAATGTAGAACAGATTCCAAAGAGGATAATTCCCGATCACTATAATCTTGACCTGTTCAAATACAGGGCCAGTATATCCTACATATCCTCATAATATGCCCGGCTTGCTCCCCTTCTTACAACCTCATTTATTAACTCTCTACCTAGAGTGGCTCTTGAGCATTGTGTTGTGTAAAATTATAGTAAAAAACAATTTGTAAATCTTGCATCCTTTGGGTATAATATTAGGTAACATCATTTGCAATTATTTTGATCTTATATTCTTAAAGAATGTAAGATCCAACCATCGGTAAAAGTGCGAGACTGACTTCAAGGAAGCAAATGACATTATTGAAGAAAACCAGAATTTTTCTTCTCTCTGGTGATCTACTACTAAATTCTATCAACTAAATTTCTTTCATTGTCAACCTCTCATCAAGCCATTACTAGCTCTAACCATAAAGCTATCGTTTCTAAATTATATTTTCTGAGATAGCATCGACAAAAAATATTAAAAAAATCGTTATTTCATTATTTTCCGAAAAGGAAGATAAAATGAAGGGACGTAAATCCTGATTCTGGTCCACAATCGTAAAATACAATATAATGAAAAACATTATCAGTCATTTGAGTTTGAAATCCCGAATATCGACAAATGCAGACGAGAATTGCATTGTATTATTTGATTAGAAAATAGTAATTGACCCAACTTCCAGAAATGACGAGAAATAAAAAACCCTCTCGAACCGAGAGTGTAACAACTTTGTTGATTTAGAAATATTTGCTGGATTTTTTTTCGATAAAATTTGGTTTTATGTTTTTAAGAGTTAATTTTGTAGCAATTTTTTCCCCTTGATTTTTCTCATTTTTCCCCACTGTTGAGTCTACTGAAATTCTTTAATAAAAAGAAGAAAATTGAATCTATCTGCTGATTGAACTAAGATCGGAAGGACAAAAAAAAATTGATGAAATTAGATTGGGGAGAAAAATAGGGCGAGATAGAAAACGGTAATCAGTGAGAAGAAAAAAGAAGGAAAAAAAAGACAGGAAAAGAAAGAAAAAAAAAGGCGAAAGAAAAAAAAAGAAAGAAAAAGAAAGAAAGAAAAAAAAAAAAGAAAAAAAAGAAAGAAAAAAAGAAAAGAAAAAAAAAAGAAAGAAAAAAAAAGAAAGAAAGAAAAAAAAGAAAGAAAAAAAAAAAGAAAAAGAAAAAGAAAAAAAAAAAGAAAAAAAGAAAAAGAAAGAAAAAAAAAAAAAAAGAAAAAGAAAAAAAAGAAAAAAAGAAAAAAAAAGAAAAAAAGAAAGAAAGAAAAAAAAAAGAAAGAAAAGAAAAGAAAAAAAAAAAAAAAAAAAAAAAGAAAGAAAAAGAAAAAAAAAAGAAAAAGGAAAAGAAAGCGTAAAGAAAGAAAGCGTAAACAAACGAAAGAAAGAAAATATAATAAAAAAGAAGAAAAAGAGAAGAAACTATAAGAAAGAAAAGCAAACCATTTTAAAACCTAGAAAATAAAGAAATAAACAAAATGCGAGATAAATGAAGATGGATACACAAAAGAAAGAAAGAAGATCAGAGAAAAATGAAATTAAAATTACAAGTAGAAAGGAAGAAGAGAATAAAGAAAAAGAGAAAAAAATGGAAAGCGGTGTAAAAATAAAGAAATAGTGTATTTGAAAGCAAGAAGCGAGGTGTTGAAAGATAAAAAAGAAAAAAGTTCTCATACAGAAACGAGACAAAAAAAAAGACAGAAAAGAAAGACAAAAAAAGGAAGTGAGATAAAGATAAATTGAAACAACAATGAAAACAAGAAAAGATTCTAATAAATTAAAAAAAAAGAGATAAGAAAAAATTAATATGGTTTCCTTAAAACCATTGACAAAAAGAAAGATTACATTTTCAAATCGCAAAAATAAACAATGATGAACAAATGACATTAGCCCTTGTGTCTTCCTCAAACTCGGTTGCCTTTCGTTGTCTGGCCTCTCTTTCTCTACCCATGACGTCTTTTCCCTTCATTTCCCGCTGCGTAAATCGTCAAACACGAACGACCTTCTTACACATATGAACGTACACAGTGGAAGGCATCAAGCGGGGTGACGAACCGAGATAATTGATTCATAAATTGTTCAGAAACTGAGCTTTCAATGGAAGCAGTTGCTACGATTGATCAAACAAATTAGTTCGTTTTATAGCCTATGAGCTAGAATGTAGAAAGTTCTCCATCTTCGGTTACCTCGCAAGAAACTAAATAAGCCTATTTGTTTTAAAGCGAGCGGCAGAGTTGCTTAAAGCATTTAAAACGAGTTGGACGACGTCGTGGCTCATTAGTTAAACACGTAGGTTATTTTACCTTAGGCAGAATAGAGACTCGGAAAGAGAGATCGGCAAGCCGAGTTCGAATTCCGGCTGGGTAGTGATTTTCCAAGCGTAGCTTGGATGTGGCACAAGGCCGAAAGTATGGGGCACCCAGTAAGGAACGAACTCCCTACTCAGTCGTAATTGTTCTAGCGAGACAAGCTTGTTAACCATTACACCGCTTCGAAGCGCCAAAGTTACGCTCGCTTTGGCCCAAATACCATTGGGAAAGATACGAACCAATTTCTTCTCTCTCCAGCTATGGGTTAAATAGCAAGGATGACTGGTTCCTCTTGCCTTGAGAAGGAAAAAGACAACTCTGAATTTAAATTACCCTGAAGAGGGATGGGCTCCGTCAGACTAGACTGTCCGAGAAATACTATTACTGGTGTGACTGTAATACATGTGATGGACAACCGGACTCGTGATGTGATCTAGTACTTGGTCCAAACTTTATGGGGTCATAAAAAGAAGAAGGAGTTTTAAAAGAATGAATCAATAAACCCCTAAAGTTGTATTTCATACCAAAGGTTATAATTTTAATAATAAATCCCATTGCTACGTAGACGCAGGCTATTTAAATATAACATGCGTCGGAAAAAGAACAGACTAAGATGCGAGATATGGATTGGGGATACCAAAATGAAGCCAGTGCGAAAAGTTAAATATCTGGAGAATTTTAAAACAGAGGACGGACAATGTGACACCGAAATCCGAAGGCGTATTGGAATAGCAAAAGGCTCATTCCAAAACTAAGTTATTTAGAAACAAAAGAAATAGTGCTCCGTTGCTACGCAACATCAGTCATCTTTTATGGCAATGAGTACCGGCCAATCGCCTCACAGATGAAGACAAGGCTTGAAGCAACAGAAATGCGTTTCTTTTTTTTTATATAGAAGGATGCTGAGAATACCATAAACTGAACATGTGAGAAATTTGCAAGTTTTCAGGATAATGGAAACAAAAAGAGCGCTTATACTTAAGATCAGAAAAACTGAAAATTCTAGGAAACATAATGAGGAAAGAGGGCGTGGAGAATGTGACACTAACATTACATTGAAGGCAGTGGAGGTGAGGAAACGAATCCTCTACATAAACTTGTGTAAATAAATGGCAGGACAGGAAGTGGTGGGGTAAATAGAAAGATAGATTTTGCTAACCGTTACAAAGGATAGGAAGTTGCGGAGAGCCACATTTAAATGTTTCCACTAAATGTTCGAAGCTTTAAGACGACCTAATTACATGTTCAAAGGGAAACAAGATTTATTTAAAAATTAAAATGAGTTTCATAAAATTACTGGTTTTTTTGTTTTTTTTTTAAGTTAAGGAATGATTCATATATTTTTATCTACTTCAGGGGGTCACCAAACTAGGGCGAGCGGGCCGAATCCAGCCCCCGACTTCACTTCATCCTGCCCGGCGCTTCACTGTGCTACAAATGATCTAAAATATAATTATTTATATGGAATTATCAATAGATTGTAGTTAAACTTACTATGTAGAAAAAAATTAAAAGAAATGTGAATAAATTGCCAAAATTTGGCCAATCTAATTTTTGCATCTGACAGTAATATAGGTTTTATGAAAATGAATGAAATAAAAAATTCGGCAACTTTTGATATCCGACCCCTTTTTGTGTAAGTACCTGCAATGAGGTTTCTAAGAAAAGCGATTATGAGCCGGCTGCAGCAATTATGTTTTAACTTGCATTGCTGTGTTTATACCGGTTTGAAGAGTGCCGTATATAAAAAGGACTGACTTCAGCGAATTATGTCATATATTTTGCCTGAACTTATAAAATCTAAAGTATGTAAATTATTTACATTATTCGGACTATTGTATGTGGGTGTGTGTGTGTGTGAGCTTATGTACAACTAAACGTGGAGACGGAGGTCAACACAAAGTTACGACAGATTGTTTCATGATTCGACGGAATCTTCAGGCCATGTGTGTTGTTTTTGGCTCGACTATTTATATATGCTGATCAGTGGTGCATTATGGGTAGTATGATCTATTGTATTATGTCAAAGGTTAATAGGCTGGCGGTAATGGTTGTCCTTCAGATTACTCTAGAGGCTATTGAATAGAAATAATTGTGACTGCTCATTATTTATTATTGATTGCTTATTTATTTCTTTATTATTACATGTGTTTGTGTATCCATTCGTATTTTGTTAATTAGTTTATTATTTACTTAATTTATTTAGATTTTTGTTTGTGTTATGTTTTCTATTTGAAACATGACACTTATACGTTTAGATGTACATAAGCTCAAACACACACACACACATATATATATATATATGAAAAGAAATATAGTTTTAAAGGTATGCTATATCTATAGGATAAAGTTCTCAATATCAGAGAGAGCGTAACAATAAAATCCCAAATAACATCATATGGGGAACAGTAAAATGTAACATTTGAAGAAATATATATATATATATATATATATATATATGAGAGAGAGAGAGAGAGAGATGAGTTTTGGAGCAGCAATTTCTCATCCATTAAATAGCAACGAAAGTTTATTTATGTTTTTGTTTTATTCATTTGTTTCTCCAATTCCAACTATTATTTTTAAAGTTCTAGGCCGAGGTTGAAAATAAACTGTCCAATATTTTTTGAGCGCTTAGAAAAAAAAAGAACAAAAGTCAGACTCCAATGGTGGCGAGGTATTCGAGGACGACCAAAGAACACAACGCATATTCCTAGACAGTCTTCTTAATCCACAAAAGAAAAGAAAAAATTCTATCGCGAAAATTCTTAGAAGATTTTGGACAAGTTGTGATTAACGTCAGACAAGAACCTCCAATAATTTTCAGAACCGAAGAAAAAAAGAGGAAGAATGAATTACACTTACATAAACGGACACAGGTACACACATTTCATTATAATTGAGCGACAAGGAACTTCTGTTAATTTTTCTCACTTTGTTTTTCTTGTGTACAAAACAAAAGATTTCTTTTTGGGGGCTTTGCATGTTTAGAAATAGTCCAACTAAAATGGTGTGTAATTTTCTGAAAGACAGGCAAGCTTTTAATTCTTGAATGCGGCGAATAATTTATGTTTGAAGTTGATTTTGTTAACGGTTGTTTTTTCTTTTCCATGTTGAGTGTGTCTACATTTTTAATAAAACCTGTATTAGCGATGGATTGTTGCCCAAATACACAATTTCTATGAATCACATAAACCAACAAAACTCCAATGGACTCATCTGATTGACCGACTCCAGAATTTCGCAGCGAAACTGCAATCGGTCAAAGAAATTCACTGAACCTTTTTTGATTTGTTGAATATTAGAGCTTGAGTTATCTATTAAGATCATTTTGGCAGTCCTGCGAGCCTGAAAATACTTCAAGTTCTCGTCATATTGACGTATTTATTTAGCAGTATTATTAATCTATATTCACGGGGCTGTAAGGTCGCCAACTCTATAAAAAGATGTTCTAGACGTGAGTGAACAAAGAATCTTTTATCAGTGTGAATTAAATTTAGTTTTCCGTGAAATTATTTATTTTTCAAACAGTAAGAAACAGTAAGCGAATACCATTTTATTCACCTTGTCATCTCTATTTATGAAATATTTGTATTTTGATGTTTCCGAAATTGCGTGAATGTGTTCTTGTGGTGTAATGGATAGCTGCTCGGAATGAGGATTCGGAGATCCATGTTCGAATTCCAGTCGGATTCGTGACATTCAGTTACGAACAAATACCTTTGGGAAATATGAATTTTTCTCCCGCCCAGCTATGGGTTAATTAGTAAGACATGCCTCTTAAAAAATATTGTTACTCTTTTTTCGTTTTTTTTAAAAAAAAAAAAAAAAAAAGAAGCAAATCTTAATACAAGTCACTGGAAAAAATAAAAATAAAAATAGAAAAAGAATTATTTTCACAATCCAAAATAAGTTTCGACTTTAAATAACAAAGTGTTGATAAGCCGTAAGAAACATATCAATGCATAAATCGCATTTGAAAATTATGTTAAAATTGTTTGTTGCCACAGGTAAAGTTGCAAAGATCTTAATACCACGAGATTTAATATATTTACTAACTCTAGAAAGAAAAAAAAAGCACTGTGCATCTTCTTGGAAAGATTTAAATTTAACAAGTTGAATAAAAACAAAAGGACACCGATATGAAGCATTAGAAAGAGACAATTGAAAATTCTATGGCACCGTATGAGGAAAGAAAGCATGAAAAATCTGACACTCATAGAACATATTGAAGGCAAGAGGGGCAGAGGAATTCAGTGCATAAACCCCTGCCTAACGAGCTAGTGTAAAATATTGACAAAACAAGGATTAGGAGAGATAGCAACAAGGTAAACTTTACTAAATGTTACAAAGAATAGGAAATTGTGGAGAGCTATGATCGCTCAAGGTCTGAAGGGACACGGCACATATAGGATTAATGCTTCGAATTCAGCACATTGCGGTTTCAGTTTTGATCATAAAATCTTTACGATGAAAAAAAGAAACAAATATGTTCACATAAAGGGGAAAAGGTAAAATCAGAGATATTTGGTTTGAGAAATGGAAAGCTGAGATTGAAAAGAGTACAGAGAAGAAAAAAGTACAAAGAAAAAGTACAGAGAAGAAAAAAGTACAATGAAAAAAGTACAGATAAGAAAAAAGTACAAAGAAAAAGGTACAGAGAAGAAAAAAGTACAAAGAAAAAAGTACAGAGAAGAAAAAAGTACAATGAAAAAGGTACAGAGAAGAAAAAAGTACAAAGAAAAAAGTACAAAGAAAAAGGTACAGAGAAGAAAAAGTACAGATAAGAAAAAATACAAAGAAAAAAGTACAGACAAGAAAAAATACAAAGAAAAAAGTACAGACAAGAAAAAATACAAAGAAAAAAGTACAGACAAGAAAAAAGTACAAAGAAGAAAAAAGTACAGAGAAGAAAAAGTACAAAGAAAAAGTGTACAGATGAGAAAAAATACAAAGAAAAAAAGTACAGAAAAGAAAAAAGTACAAAGAAGAAAGTACAGACAAGAAAAAGTATAAAGAAAAAATATGGAGAAGAAAAAAAGGATAAAGAAAAAGATAAAAACAAGAAAAACAGCAAAAAAAGGGAGAGAAAAGAGAGAAATTTGAGTGTAAATAGAAAAGGAAAAAAATACGCCCGAAAATGACTTGATAAAGAAAGAAAGATAGAAAAAGAAAAGAAAAAGTATATGAAAAAAAAGAAAAGGAAAAATAAAGGAAATAGACAGAGATTAATAGAGGAAGAAAAGGAGAGAAAGAAAATAAAGAGTAAAAAGATGAAGAAAACAAAGATGAAGAAAAATGAGAAAAAGAAAAAGGATGGAGTGTGGAAGGAAAAAGGAAAGGAAAGAGAGAGAAATGATAGATGAGAGGAAAAGAAAAAACACAGGATGCAAAATAGAAGCGAAAGGAAAGGGGGAAGAGGAAAAGGAGAGTGGATTGAAAGGGGGGGAAAAGAAAGGCGAAGAGCAGATTGATAAAAAGAACGGGGTGAAGAAAAGATGGAGTGTACAGACAAAAGGAAAAATGATGCAAATCAAGCATAAAGAAAAGAAATATTGAAAAAGATGGACAGAGAAAGAAAATAAAAGAGAGAAGATGAAAGTAAGAAGAAGAAAAGAAGAGAAAGAAAGAAAGATGGGGAAAATAAGAAACAAAACGAAATAAGAAATTAAAATGAAAAAAAAAAAGTCAAAAAGAGAAATAAGAAAAGAGAAAGAAACACAAGGAAAAAAGAAAAAAAAAAAGACAAAAGAAAGAAAGAGAAGAGACAAGAAAGAAAGAAAGAGAAGAGACAAGAAAGAAAGAAAGAAAGAGAAGAGACAAGAAAGAAAGAAAGAAAGAGAAGAGACAAGAAAGAAAGAAAGAAAAGAAAGAAAGAAAAAGAAAGAAAAAAAAGAAAGAAAATAGAAAGAAAAGAGAAAAAAAACGAAAAAAAAGAAAGAAAAGAAAGAAAATAGAAAAAAAGAAAAGAAAGAAAAGAAAAGAAAGAAAGAAAAAGAAAGAAAAAAAGAAAAGAAAAAGAATTTGAAAAAAGAAAGAAATTGAAAAAGAACGAAAATAGAAAGAAAAGAAAGAAATTGAAAAAAAACGAAAATAGAAAGAAAAGAAAGAAATTGAAAAAGAACGAAAATAGAAAGAAAAGCAAGAAAATAGAAAAGATAGAAAGAATGGGGGAAAGAATGAAAGAAAGAAAGAGAATGGGGGAAAGAATGAAAGAAAGAAAGAGAATGGGGGAAAGAATGAAAGAAAGAAAATGAAAGAGAATGGGGAAAGAAGAATGAAAAGAAAAAGAATAAAAGAGAGAATGGGGAAAAGAATGAAAGAAAGAAAGAGAAAAGGGAGAATGGGGAAAGAATGAAAATGAAAGAAAGAGAGAATGGGGAAAAAGAAAAGAAAGAGAATGGGGAAAAGAATGAAAGAAAGAAAGAGAGAATGGGGAAAAGAATGAAAGAAAGAAAGAGAGAATGGGGAAAAGAATGAAAGAAAGAAAGAGAGAATGGGGAAAAGAATGAAAGAATAAAAAGAGAGAATGGGGAAAAAGAATGGGAAAAAGAATGAAAAGAATGAAAGAAAGAGAGAATGGGGAAAAGAATGAAAGAAAGAAAGAGAGAATGGGGAAAAGAATGAAAGAAAGAAAGAAAGAATGGGGAAAAGAATGAAAGAAAGAAGAGAATGGGAAAAGAATGAAAGAAAAAAGAATGGGGAAAAGAATGAAAGAAAGAATGGGGAAAAGAATGAAAGAAAGAAAGAATGGGGAAAAGAATGAAAGAAAGAAAGAATGGGGAAAAGAATGAAAGAAAGAAAGAATGGGGAAAAGAATGAAAGAAAGAATGGGGAAAAGAATGAAAGAAAGAATGGGGAAAGAAAAAGAAAGAAAAAGAAAGAAATGAAAGAATGGGGACAAAAAATGGGGACAAAAAAAAGAAAGAAAGAAAGAATGGGGACAAAAAAGAAAGAAAGAAAGAATGGGGACAAAAAAGAAAGAAAGAAAGAATGGGGACAAAAAAGAAAGAAAGAAAGAATGGGGACAAAAAAAAGAAAGAAAGAATGGGGACAAAAAAGAAAGAAAGAAAGGGGACAAAAAAGAAAGAAAGAAAGAATGGGGACAAAAAAAGAAAGAAAGAAAGAAAGAAAGAAAGAAAGGGGGACAAAAAGAAAGAAAGAAAGGGGACAAAAAAGAAAGAAAGAAAGGAAGAAAGGGGACAAGAAAAAGGAAAAAATGATTAAAAAAAAGAAAATGGTGAAGAATAAAGAAAAAAATGAACAGATAACAAATAAAGAAATCTGGAATGAAGAAAGAAAAAAAAATGATTCGGTATTTCTTTTAACATTTTTGAAAGAAATAAATGGAAACAAACTAAAAAAAAACATCCGAAAATAGAACTGTCTCGAAGAGGAAAAATCGGCATTTAAATCAAGAAAAAAAGAATTACTAAGTAAAAAATAATGTCACCTTCATCTATATATGTCCAGGTAAGATAAACATTTTCTTTCGGAACTCGCCGAGTTTTATTTATTTACGAGCTATCTAAAATATCTTCTCAGTTATCATAACATACACACTGAAGTGTCCAAAAATTACAGATAGCAGGAGACCAAATAATGATTTTGCTTTTCCCCAGCTCGTAGAAATAGACTCAGACAGAAGACACATATGTGACGTAATAAGCAAACAGGCAGTGTAGCTGTGGCAGCAATGGAACGCGGACACAATTTAACACCGTTTTACTTTAGATGAAGGATTGTCTCCAATTTGGCACTTGCCCTCGGTTTGTTTGTTTTTTTCAGGCGAGGGGCTCATTCGGATAGCGAAAGTGCTTTCCAAAAGCTAAGCAAGGTATTAAAAAAAGGAAAATTTCGTTAGAAACAAAGAAAAGAGTACGAAGGTGTTATGTAATGTTAACTCCTCTTATATGGCAATCTCCTCACGGGAGAAAAAGAGACTCGAATCAACACAAATGTGGTTCTACAGAAGGATACTGAGAATCCCATGGACCGAACATGTGAAAAATAACGAAGTTTTAGAGAAAATCGAAACAAAAAGGACACTTATACTTAACATCAGGAATAGGATGAGAGCTTGGAAAATCTGATACTCACAAGGCAGATTGAATGCAAGAGGGACAGAGGAAAACAACGTATAGTCTACCTGGCGAGCTTGAGTAAGTGAATGACAAAACAATTGGTTGATTCGCTTTGTACGGTGTATCAACTCTTTGCAGGTTATTTAATCAGAAAAGATTTTTCAGATTGTAAGAATTTTTTTGAGATAATAATGATTTAGTGATACAAGTATAACTACTTCGAAAATTTTATACTAACTCCACGGAATCGAATTGCCCTCATTTCCCCCGTATTTCAATTGTAAGGAAGTTCCACTCAAACAGATTTTTTTTCTAAAGAACTGTTACTATGTGGAACAGAATCCATTGTAGACGCATCCTGAACACAACAGTTTTAACTTCAAGTCGATGGTCAATTGCAATCTATCCTTCTTATCTTAACTTCTTGCCATTTTCTCTTACATTGATTTTATAAATCCCATTTAGTAACGTGAGTGGCTCTCGGGGCTTGTACTGGATGAACGTCAGACTAACAAAAAGCACTTCAGAATTCCCAGTAACTGACAAAGAAAAAATTGAATAAGGAATTCTTTTTTTTAAACTCACAAGACCCAAGCGCCATTCAAGGTAGAGAATCACTAATGAGATTGCTGTAAAACAAGCGGGAATTAAGAGATGATACATAAAATCACGTTGTATGTCATTATCCACACGACAGCGTCATTTACTGCTCCTCATTTGGGTCAGAGAATGCTACCATTAGACCGTAGATGATTGACGCCGTCTCACCTGCCCAGATGAATCCTATTTCTAGCGCCAATGGCAGACAGTAGAATTCCCCTGTGGCGAGAGAACACATGAGGCTATATATCCAGCCACTCAGGTGGATATTCTGCTAGCTTTCTAATAAGATGAGGTGATTTCTTTTCAAGTAGACAAAAAAACACCAGTATGGAGTCTATCATGACAGATGTGACATACGCCCTGTTTCACAGCATCTATACTCATTAATGTTCGCCAGGTTTCCCGTTGTTGATGGCTTCTTCCAGCAAGATAACACAAAACCCTATTCGGCACAAGTGACTCGAAACTGGTTCAATAAACGCTTTGTTAAGCTGGTTTTCCATGTATAGGATATGTTGCAGACCTCATTAAATACCCTGCAGCCAACTCCAACAACTACAATTTCGTTATGGCCAACCTTGGAATGATATATACCTATTCGACGACTACAGTGCCTTGAGGATGACAACATTTAAAGTTTAGAAGATTGTAGTTATCAGGGAAGCAAGAAATTGGGTTCTACCGGTGAGATGTACGAGAAAAGAATCTGTTAACAGAAGTGACAGTTTCATCTAGTTTGTTCAAAGGTAAAACAGTGAGACTTACTTGCCAATCTAGTAGAACGCTTTAATCCATTTAATCGGGGCATTCAGATAAAGAAACTTCTAGTAAAAGACAAATTGGAGCCGCTTCATGTCGGTAAAAAAGTAAGTGAATACCAGATGATGGTTCAGGATCGAATACATTAGAAACACTTCTTGGAATATTGTGAAGAATCTCGAGATATAGAGCAAGATCACCAGACCAGACATGGTAGCAGCATTCAATTCTTTCTCTATCTTTCTCTCTATATATATATATATATATATATATATATATATATATATATATATATATATATATATATATATTATTTATTTAAAATATGATTCCAACACGCTACATAAGAGTTCCCATGTTTCAAAACAAGAGCCGAAAACTTCAATATAATAATTAAATTGAATTAAAGTACTAAGCTCTGTTCCATCTTCAAGCGAAATTTTATTTTTGGAATAACTTACTTCTGAAATTTACGCGTTTTATAAGCATATTCATTATTGAAATCAAAATTTCTGTGGTAACGGCTAGATCACTATTTTTTTTTTTTAAATAATAACAAAAATACCAAAGAACTTTGGATCATTTACCTAACGAGTTCTATCCTATTTTCTATATATATATATATATATATATATAACTCACACACACTCAAACACATATATGTGATAAAGATATAGTTTTAAGTTATGCTATATTTATAGGTTAAATTGCTCAATATATATATCAGTCGACATTAAGGTCAACACTCAGCGGCGAAAGTCTGTTTAACGCTTAAACAGAATCTTCAGACCATGTGTGTTGTTTTGGCTCGCCTATTTATATATGATGATCAGTGGTGCATTATGGGTAGTGTGGTCTATTGTATTATCCTAACGGTTATTGGGTGGCCGGTAACGGTTATATTTCAAATTATTCTAGAGGCTATCGAGAAGGAATAAGTATGGATCCGAATGTGGCTATTTGTTGCTATTTCATAATGTTGTTTGGTAACTTTAAAATAGTTACAAATAACTACATTCGGATCCACAATTATTCTTACTCAATAGCTTCTAGAATAATTTGGAACATAATCTTTACCGCCAATCTAGTAACCAGAAAGATAATACAGCATTCTTTCTACCCATAATGCAGCACTGACCAGCATACGCAAATAATGGTACCAGAATGCAACTGTAGAAGACCGGGGGGTTGAAGATGAAAAGAAAACACGTGAGTTTATATTTCCTGCTAAAAGAAGGTTCCACAACGAGAAATATGGCGGACTCTAGTTGTATCCAACTGAAGATGAAAGAAGACAAACAATACATACATACACACATTATATATATATATATATATATATATATATAATATATATATAGATATTTATATATATATATATAATATATGTGTTTGTGTCGTATTTTGGTGAATGTTCGTACGTACGTGTGTGTGTGTGTGGTGTGTATACGTGTGTGTGTGTGTATAATGTTCATGGCGTCTTCTCACAAGTGGGAAACGATATCTCCTAAGAGAGTTTACATTGTAGTCGCTGAAATGAAGAAATGAAAAAGAGAATTTACCTCACTCTACGCGAGGTGGGATGCGGCACGAGGCCTGAAGGAAAAAGCGAGGCGAGAAGTCGCCCAGTGTTTATAGTATAGAGAGAATGACCCCTAGTGACAATTTGGGAATTAAGGAGGAGATAACTCCGACACAACATTACTTTTTCAAGAGGTGACATTTTTCTTTCCAATTCTAACAAAGAAAGGCTTCCAAAATCCGCAGATTGATTTATTTATTTATTTGCTGTCATATCTTTTAAATGATAAAAAGTGCCACTTTTTCTAAATATCACCTCAGAGCCTGGTGATAACACTTTAACAAGTTTAAACTGATTATCAATAATCTGATTGAAAGCCATTAATTTCTAAATAGGGTAACATGTCTTAGGTACAGTTTGTTTCTAGTCACACGAATTATTTATGATTAAGTTCGCATGGGTGCTAAACATTACCAGCACTTTGTCGGTGAAGCACAAGCCAGCCTTCATTTGAAAGAAATGTTTGCATGTATTCCGTTGTTCCATGAGATATTGGTAAAATATTCTAATATAGGAAATAGAGCACCGAGAATCAAGGCACACATACATTGTTATTTAAAATCGTCAATAGTAAATATTTTGCGGGTTTTAAATAAAGCTTTCTTTTAATAGAAAGCTTTTAATTAAAGCTTTCTTTTAACGAGAGAGAGAGAGAGAGAGAGAGAGAGAGAGAGAAGCAGGGGAACAGCTGGAAAGAAAGAAACGAAGAAAGAAAATGAGATAGATAGACAGATAGAGAGATACAGAGACAGATAGAGAGATAAATATACAGATAAATAGATAGATAGACAGATAGGTAGATAGGTAAATACACAGGTAGATACATAGATAGGTAGAGAGACAAATAGATAGACAGACAGATAGATAGACAGACAGACAGATAGACAAATAGGCAGACAGATAGATAGATAGACAGATATAGATAGACAGATATAGGCAGACAGACAGACAGATAGATAGACAAAACATATTATAAACAAAATATGTATTTTTTTAAAATATAATCTATTTTATTCGTAATGCCCTTAATTCAAATTGAAATATTAATTGTATCGGTTGAACATTGCACAGCGAAAACTCAAATAGAATAAACAGCTAATTTACAGGTTTCGGACTTATTGATCCAGTTGGATACGAGAATGAATTCGGGAAACGTGAACAAAACTGTAAAGGAAGGGAAAAAATACAAACATTGATAGCTTGACCTCTATCTATCTATCTTGTATGAAATAGATAGGAATAAACAGGATCAAAAATATAACAGAACAACATATGCTTATCGAACAAGACAATCCACGTACAAACCACCGTCTTGTACGACATTTAATACGCCATACTCACTC